TATCCTGAACTTATTAGGAGAACCTACAAATACACATCTCAGTAGTCGTTGGTCTCAGGTTGCTGCTGTTGTTAACGTTGGCACAAAAAAACATTATCTTTCTGCTTAGTAAACAATATTGTGGGTATATTCGTGAAGAAGTTATTTTCTTTAGAAAACAAATTTTGATACACATCTGAATTTGCTTTCTAGTTCTCACTATCATTTTCCAGCCTTCAGAATCTCAGACTGGGGTTAAAATTCCTTTTCGTATTATTTTAATTATTGTTCTCCCCACCTCCACCCCTTTCCTGTTTCCCCCTCCTCTTTTCCCCTAACCGCACTGTTCTGCAAAGCCTGCAATGATTGATATGATGGCAGTGCTGTCATTCTTTTTAACCAAAAAAAAGTCATTTTTGTTCTAGTTATTTTAATAGAGTCCCATTAAAGATGTATTGCTGACTGAAATATCGGCATGAAGGGCTCTCACTGAGCTGAGCCCAGGAATTAAGAAGTCAGGAAATCGGCTGCTGCATTGCAAGAGAGCCTTGTGTGACACCGAGTCTCCTGATTGGGGAGATCATTACTGCTATTATGACTCGACTTGCGTAGGAATTTTAAATTCCATCTGAATGTCAGTAATAACCCTCTTAGCAAATTATCCTGAATAAAATCACGAAGGCATTTTATATAATAGGTGTTGAATTACTGGATAGATTTGCTAATTAAATACTCTTTGTTCTGCTGCAGTTGACATTACAGGGTAAGATCTTGAACAATTATTCTCAACAGCTGTACTTTGTTAAGGGAAAAATTAACCACAAAGTTTATTTTTTTACACTTGAAGTTGGCAGATTTTTGAAATGTGCTTGAAAAAATTCCATCATCCAATTGGTAATGAGTAGATAAATATGCAGGTGTTGCTGTGAAATCAGATAACTGCAGACTGCCTTATTAATGAATTTAGCAAGCCTTTATAGCCCTGTTTTCTAGCCGTTGGCACTTATAAAATGATTTTCTGTCAGAATGGGCAGCTTTAATATTAGACTTGTCACTTCAAAGTAAACTTATGAATGGTCATCTTGTAATCATTGTACCTTGTGTCTAGTAGACCTTTTTAGATACATGTGGCTATTTTTAAAAATGTGTTTCTTTAATGGGGAAAATACCTGTAATGTATAAGTTTTTGATTGTTGGCTTCTAGAACATTGATGTGATTTGAGTTTTTGAGTTTGTTTTTTTTTTTAAGAAGGTAGTGGGACATAATGAAAAGAAAATGAAGCATAAAGTCCTTCTAGATCAAGCTCTGGGGCAAAATCTCAGAGCCTGATTTTTCTCATCTGTCAATTGAGACTTATAACATTGTGTACCCCTTAGGATTATTCACTTAACATTCTATAAATATTTATTAACAGCTCCCATGTATCAGACTCTCTGTTAGATATACTAAGAATTTGGTAGCTCTCTGGGTATCTAACAAGTAAGCCCTCCCCAGTGAGCAGTTTGAATTGAGGGCAGCTTTGGAGTGTTTCTGCTCATTAGCACTTGGATAAGCATTGGACTAGAAAGGGCACTGTGATACCCACCATCTGGAACTGCTTAGTGAAGAAGCATGAGTGCTTAGGGGTCAGATTGGTTGTGGGTTATCTTGTATAGAATGGGCTGAAGAGTCGCCAAACTGTGGTGAGGACCTTGAACCTGAGACAGAACATTATAATTAGCTACTGGTAAGGTCCACTGAAAAGTTGGTGAGGTCCACAGAAATCGGTACAACCTCTGTAGAGAGCTATTGGGTATTATTTACTTTTAAAAATTTGAAACATACAACCTTTGACCCAGTATGTCCACTTGTAATTTTTCGTATTATTGGCAAATTTGCAAATTACACATGTATAGGGATTATTTGTTGAAGTACAGTTCTAATGGTAAAGAGTAGAAATAACCTATATGTTCATTAATAAAACACAAGTTAAATAAATTATGTTCTATTTATTCAATGAAGTACTATGTAGTCATTAAAAAAGAATAAGGCAGCTCTTTATGTGTGGATTTGAAATAACCTCTAGGTTAAGTGCTAGGTGAAAAAAGCAGTTGCAGCTTAATCTATTTACCATTTCTGCAAAAAGGACATCCACCAAAAGGTTTCTGCCACCAAAGAGAAATTGTTTTGGTAGCAGTCCTCAGGTTATGCATGGAAATGGTTGTGAGTTGGTGGCGGGATGGAGTAGGGGGTGGATGATAGATCTGAAAGGTGAAGGTTGCCAGTTCACATTGAAAGTACACTCAGGGATGACATAGTAGGTTTGGCTCATGTTATGTAAGAAGAGTAGACGAAATTGGTTATTGAATATGTGGAGTTGTAGTAAAAGGTTGACAAACTGCTCCTGAGGTTTACTGAGGTAACAGCTATACGTTATGGTGTTGTCTATTGTGATGAGGAAAGCTAAGCCTAGCTAGGTGGAAGAGGCAGAGAGTAAAGAGGACTCTTGATAAGTAGTTCTGTTCTCACTATGATTAATTTGCCTTGGATTGATCTCATTATTGCCCTTTCCCTAATGGAATGGTCAAGTATTCTCCCACAGTGTATTTCCCTGTAATTTAAATGTTAAAAAATGAAGACAAAGTTGGGGAGAGTGAATGTTTTTTATAAGTTAGCTGAATTTTAGTGTCTAGTGGAAAAGTAATTGGGATTACTACAGAACCTATCAGTCCCAAACAGTTTTTTGAGTGCCTGTGATATGTGAAATCTGTAGTTAGGCACAAACGTATGGTCTGACCTCCAGGAGCTTCTAGTCTAGTTTGGGGTGGATAGGTGGGAGCTAATAACATAAAGCATCATTCAAGTACTAGTAGAATAATGCAAACACGGATGAGAGGAGAGAGACAGGTATGGACTGGGCCAGTCAACTCATACAAGAAGGATTGTAAAATTTATTGATAGGAAGAGGACTGGGGAAGGAATTCCAGGTAGGGGGCCCGCTGCATGAGTGTAGGCATGAAAAGATGAGTCTGTACACAGTTAACTGTTGGAAGACTGGGGAGATTTATTCTATCCTCCAGCAAGAGGATCTATATAAAAGAATAACAGGTCAGACAAGTGGAACAGTGGTTTAGGTGCAGTTGCAGAATTTGGTCTTGATCTTGTAGGCATCGGAGAGGCATTGAAAACATTTAAGAGATTGGTAATGATATTCAGGGTGAATTAATGAGACCTAAAGCCAGTAGAGATGTGAGCTGGTTCATTCTCAGTGACAACCGCATTGCCATGGAATCAGGCACTTTCCACCTTGCAGCTGGCCCTGTTCAGCATGTTAGCTTGCACCCTAGGTGTGGCCCTTCCTGGTCACAGTGGTAGTTGCCACTGCACCAAGCAGCCCCTCAGTCTAAAAAGGTAGTTCCCCCCGCCCTCTCAAATCAGGAAGGAAAACCTTTCATAGAAGCATTCTACAGGAATTCTTACTTTTAACTGGCTGGGATTCTGTTCACATGCACATGCCTAACTGATCACTGTTTCCAGAATGGAATTACCATGATTATCTTAGGCCAGTGGTCCTTAACCTAGCTTGCAATGTAAGAAAACTGTTGGGGCCAGGTACTGGTTGCTGTTGTAAAATTTTTAAAAAAGATCCTCAAATGATTCCACTGTATAGTCAGTATTAAAACCACTGGCTTAGCCTAATCAGAATTGAATTCACCATCATCCACCACCCCCAGGGCATGAGAAAGGGCTTTCTCGTCTAAGAACATAATATTAATACAATGAACATCTGAACAAAATTGGGAGATAGTAGTAAAGGGGAGAGGGCAATAAAAAATAGAAAGTAATGGGTAGATATAAGATAAAGACAGGATTTACAAAGCTCTGTAATAGGGAAAATAAGGGAAAAAAATGACACCATGAAGCTTGAGCTTAGTTGACAAGGTGGACTATTGAAGTAGGAAAAAGAAGTATAAATTAAGTAAATCCTTATCTGGTTTATTAGAAAAGTGACCTCAGCTTTAGACTGATGTTTTGAAAGATAAGTGATAGCAGAGAGGCAATAGCATGGAGTGACCAAGGCCCGATACTCTGGAGTCAGAATGCCTGAGTTCATATCCTTGTTTTGTCATTACTAAGACACTACGTTCTCTGTCTTTTGGAATCTAATAAAAGAGGATATTAACAGTAGCTACCTCTTGGAGATCTAGGGGAATGAAATAAGAAAATTCACAAGGTGTTTCTTGCACAGCATCTAGCACATGTATTTTAAACTCTCTCTCTCTCTCTCTCTCTCTCTCTCTCTCTCTCTCTCTCTCTCTCTCTCTCGTCCTAATTACGTCATATTACTATTTTTAAGAGGCTGTTGTTTGTTAAATATGTGTTACTTATCTGGCACAAAATAATTTATATCAGTTTTTATTTCTAGCCACGTTGTGACCTGAATATCTTTGATCTATAACTATATGGGCCTGGGGACAGACCCATCTACGGATATTATCCATGTTTGTCTTCATTCAGTGAATGTTTCTTGAGCCCCACCTTTTTACTGGGTACTGTGGTAGCTCCAGGCAATATAGTGAAGATCTGTCTACTCTCTGTCTTCAATGAATTTAGTCTAGAGAAGAATTTTAAATGTGCTTTTTTTTTTAAACTTTTGAAGATCCTGAATACCTTGAGTAAGAATTGCCAGATTTGAAATGCTTTGTTAAGCTTTTTTTAGGCATGCAGTTCTATTTAAGTATTAGTAATGAGAATAGTTTGCTTTTTTGCCATGTTATAGAGATATTTTATTGGGTGTTTATTAAAGATACATGTTTGTATGTATGCATCCATATCTCTGGGCTAAGAATCAGCATAGAGGCACACTTATTTTTAGATTATATTGATGTTACTTTTTTTTTAAGGGCTGTGTTAGAAAACCTTCAAGAGCTTTAGAAATACATGGAAATGGCAAATCATTGAGTGTTACCTATCTCTATGTGCTTCTATTTATGTCTTTATAATTATGTAATGTATTAATCTTGTCTTTTGTTTTATTTAGATTTTGATGCATACAAAAGAGATGGTACAAAAGGTAATGTTGAGCATTTTCATTGTATAAAACTCTTAAATATCGTAACTGGCAATGTTTTTGTATTCAAGGAAAATTGTAACCCAAACAGATTGGAAATTGCTTCTTAGGCTGCCTAGTTTACATTTATAATCCCTCCTAATGGTTTACAGCTTTTTTCTTTTACCAACACTGATATGATCTAGCCCCTGCTTGAAGCCTATATGTGAGTGTTTCAAGCAAATTAGTAACAGTGCTAATTAGAGTTTATTCCCAGGCCTTTATACTGTATGTGCTCTAGAGTTGTTTGTTATGATTGATTTTTTTTGGCACTCTTCATATTCTACTAAATACTGTTTGCAACTGTATTAAGAATTTAATATGGATTTATGCCTCTGAATTTATAGAATCCATTTTATTTCTGCTTCTTGAATTGCCATGACCACTAAGCATGTGGTACAGTGGATAAATATAGACCCCATATTCTAGTCTTTTATTCTCCTTTTTCTCATTATTTAATTTGGCATTTTGTTTCAGTTGAAACTTAACACAATTCACTTTCCACTCTACTCTCTGTTTTAAGAAAATTTGAGAGATATTCTTGATGTCAGGGTGCTTGCCTTTTTGGTTTATAGGGGCTTAATCATCAATTGTATACCCTGACAGTATGAATAATAATTAACATAAATGTTTGGAGCCTGTAATTTCTGTAGTATGGAAAATCTTTAGTTTCATTGTATGTAATGGTCATTGTGTTTTTGCTGTTAATCTTTATACTTTTTGCTTTTCATTAGATGAATCTTGAAGTTATTTATGGAGATACAGATTCAATTATGATAAACACCAATAGCACCAATCTGGAAGAAGTATTTAAGTTGGGAAACAAGGTGAGATAATTTTATGAATTTTCTGCTGTACCTACTTTTGTGAATTGTTTTTAACATGGAACACTGTAAATTCATGAATGTGCATGTATATTCTTCTGAAAATAATAAACTTGGTTTCTCTCAATTCTTCAGTCTCTTTTATTTTTCTTTGTTTCTTTATTATTTTTTTCTGAGATAGGGTTTCACTCTGTTGTCCAGGCTGGAGTGCAGTGGTGCGATCAGGACTCATTATAGCCTTGACCTCCTGGGCTCAAATGATCCTCCTGCCTCAGCCTCCCAAGTAGCTGGGACCACAGGCACTCGCCACCATGCCCAGCTAATTAAAAAAATTTTTTTTGCAGTGATGTGGTCTCACCATGTTGCCCAGGCTGGTTTTGAACTCCTAGGCTCAAGTAATCCTCCTGCCTTGGCCTCCCAAAGTTCTGGGATTATAGGGATGAGCCACCATGCCCAACCCTCTTGTTTTTAATTTCTATTCCAGCTGTTTGTTTTGAGGGTGAAATTCAAAGGTAATTTTTTTCTTTAAATGGTAGGTAACATTTTCCTTTGAAAACAGTCTGTTGCATATGTTTAAGATGTATTCACATTAGTACTTCCTACATTGTGATTCATATGTCTGGTAGGATTCAGATGCATTTTATACGTAAATACCTACATACATCCATATACACTCACAACTGTAATTTTTACAGGAGTACTTAAAATATATTTATTTGAAAAGACAAGGAGGCATTTTAAAATAATCATTTGTAGCTTCTTAGTAGCAATTCACAATAACAATTCACAGTGTTTTAGAAACACTTGCTATGTTAAGATATTGTCCCAATGAACTAAAACAGAGATATCTTAGAAACTAACAACTTTCTATGGAATATGTGGAATTTGAATGGTAATCTTCACTTGAAAGCAAGCCTGGCATATTGTACTCATACTGGGCCTTGAAAAGTTGTATATTTTCCCTCGAGGCGATGGTCTGTAGGGGACTCTATTTATTTGTTCAGCATGTAGTTGTTTGCCTATAGTCAAGGTGTTAACGGAGGTCTTACACATTATTTTTATAATAAAAGTTTTACTTCTTTATTTCTGACCACATATTTACTTGTTGGACTATTCGCTAACTGAATAGTTCAAAGGCAAGTACTGTACATATGTATTAAGTCTTTACGTTCAACAAGGACTGTTCCATAATTTTCATACATTACCTGTGGCTGATCCATGCAGTCCTGTCTTTTAGTTGCATGGGATGATATATTACTGATATATTGATAAAATGATATGATTATTGTCTCTCTTTTTAAAATCTATTTTTGTTCCTGCAGTTTTCAATGTCTTTGCTTTATACCCAATGTAATATCATGTTACACATAAGCCGAGTAAAATTCCAATATTGTATAACTTCATGTTCTGTTTAGATGAACTCTTGGGAATTTTTAACATGTTTATCTTCTCTTTGTTAGATGTTTGAGAAGCTAATACTAATATTTGAAATTTTCACAGGTAAAAAGTGAAGTGAATAAGTTGTATAAACTGCTTGAAATAGACATTGATGGGATTTTCAAGTCTCTGCTTCTGCTGAAAAAAAAAAAATATGCTGCTCTGGTTGTTGAGCCAACGTCGGATGGGAAATATATCACCAAACAGGAGCTCAAAGGATTAGATATAGTTAGAAGAGATTGGTGTGATCTTGCTAAAGACACTGGAAGGTAAGTTGAGCTTTCGGTTTTGCTGTTCTTGTTTGTCTTGTAAAAATTCAGGTGTGAATGATGTAGAGAATGCTTATGAATCTGCCAAGCACAAGAACACAACTTCTTTGTTATTTTTATTATTATCAACCTAAGAATTATTAAGAATTCTTATTTGGAATGGAATTTTATAGGTAGACTAAAACTTAGAAAAAGCCAAATTTGCTTAGTAAGAAATGCTTGCTATAAGGTACATCTCATGAGTTTTTAACTCTTGGTAAGGATAAACCTTCACACTTCAGATCCTTACAGAGTTGGTTTCGTTGATGTTGGTTTGTTTTGCTTTAATGTTGCTATTAGAAAGTGCCTTGTTTTGTGCTCCTGAATCTTCCTAGATCTTCTTTAGGAACATAATTGTTAAGATTTTCTCATTTTATGGCTTAAAATGTTCTGGGATTCAAAGTGGACCATGGAGTGAGACTTTGTTCCCACCCATATGATTTGCATATAAAAGATTCTTACTAATACCAGGTTAATTTAAGGGCTAGCTCTCAAATCCCGTGTGTACCTGAGAATTAGTAAATGTCATGATTGACCTCCTAGCTTTGCACCTGAGACTGAAGAATGTGATAACAAGACCTGCTTTTTAAAGGATCATATTAATGTATAAACACCCATTTAAAAATGAATTTTTAGACTGGGCATGATGGTGGCTCATGCCTGTAATACCAGCACTTTAGGAGGCCGAAGCAGGCAGATCACTTGAGGTCAGGAGTTTGCGACCAGCCTGGCCAACATGGTGAAATGCTGTCTCTACTAAAAATACAAAAATTAGCTGGGTGTGGTGGCATATGCCTGTAATCCCAGCTACTGGGGCAGCTGAGGCAGGAGGATCACTTGAACCTGGGAGGTGGAGGTTGCATTGAGCCAAGATCGCACCGTTCCACTCCAGCCTGGGTGAAGCAGCGAGACTCTGTCTGAAAAAAAAAAATGAATTTTTAGGTGCTTTATGTACCATCTTTCATATACTCCTATTTTGTGACCATGACTAATTCTGAAAGTAGAAGAATGTTTTTCTTTAAAGCTAAATTTCCAAATCAGTTTTAATATTCTGAATATCAGCATTTAAACTTGTTTTCCAATCTTCCTCTTGCTGTCAAGTTGGGAGATTAAGCAGTTATTGCTGCTGCAAAACTACTCTTGATTAGGCAGAGTTGACCATCTGAGTATAGGTCACTGTGAGCCTTTTATGAAATGTAGTTTGAAATGCTTCATTGCCCCCAAATGTACCCAAAGAAAAAAGTACTTTGTATAGACTGTGGATTAGCATGTTCTCTTCAGCTTTTGTGTTTTCTAAGAAAAGATGCATCATAATAGAAGTAAATTTCTCTGCGTTAGAAATGTATTAGTAATTAAAGCTATACAAATGGTTTTGTCAGGGTTCTTTTTCTGACAAATTATAATGCAGCTGTCAAACCCTCGCTCTGCATTTTCTCAGAAATGGATAAAATATTGGCTTTCTTACTCCTTTCCTTTTACTTTTTCCTTTGGGTCTGGTTTTTAAGGAATAGCATAAGGGAAATAACTGAGCAATAAAATGAAGGTGAAGAAAGAAAAGTTTGAAATCTTTGTTTTTTTAAAAAAAATTTATGTAAAGGGCTTTATATTTCTACTCACCTAGCTCATGGTGGTTCGTCTCAGGTGGAGACGATGTCTAGATATCAGAGGTATGTCTTGGTTCTTTGTGGGGAAAGTGAAATATTTGTCTTCTAAAATTTTAACTTATGGGTAAAATATAACTGTGCATTTTGTAATTGCATAAAAATGTAATGGAACACATACTTTTCTTCATCACATTTTATATAAAATATTAGCTGCCACATAAAAATGATCTGTATGTTTAGGGTCAAACTTGACATTACAAGGCTGGCAAACTTTCAGTACAGTTGTTGTTAAAAAGCAAATAGTAACTCCCTTTTCGACATTAACCCTCATATTAGCTCTTAGTGTAGCTCTTGGCTACATGTTAATGTAATGGCATTTCTCTTCCTTTCTTATTCTTTACTAGTAAAATATGACATTAAAAAATCAACTGCTGTCTTTTTTTTTTTTTCAGCTTTGTGATTGGCCAGATTCTTTCTGATCAAAGCCGCGACATTATAGTAGAAAACATTCAGAAGAGGCTAATAGAAATTGGAGAGAATGTGCTAAATGGCAGTGTCCCAGTGAGCCAGTTTGAAATTAACAAGGTAAATGTGGCATTTATTGTTGAGCCCAGCTGCTGTCGTGTGTTTTTCTCCTCCTTCAGATAGTTGAAGAACCACCTCATCCTTGCAATTGAAATAAATTCTAGCTGGTGATGAAAGCTGCTTAACAACTATCTCACAGATTGAGCACTAGCATACCTCTTCCAGCCACAGGTACAGCCATGTCTGCCAGAGACCTTCTGTCTCTAGTCCTTACTTTAATTCTTGGAAGACTCGTTTCCAGAGGCCCTATGGAGTGATATAGTTTACTTATTGGGGACTGGAGAAAACTACCTTCTTCAGTCCCTTAAGTAGTAGTTGTTTGGGGTGTAGGCCTGTAGGCTTATTGTGTGCATGTGTGCATTCATGTATTTGTTTAACTTCGCAGATGGTGATCCTTAGAGGTGCTATAATCGGAAGGCTTTTGGGGACAAAAGTTATTTAGAAACAGTCTTAGTTGTTGAAAATAGGGAAGTGTATTTTTCTTACCTAATTTGAAAAACAGAATCTTGGTTTCCAAAGTGCTGTGTAATAAACAAAATGTTAGGTTAGTTTTTTTTCCTGTTTAAAAGGAGTACCTTTATATATTCAGAAGCTAATTTTGCAAATACCACACTACCCATTTTGTGGTAGATTTCGTTGTCAAAGTGCATACAAAGATTAATGAAAAAGAATCTGATGCTGACACTAAATGGAAGTTTTAGAATGAAGACTCATTCATAATACTCTGCGCTGACGCAATGCCTGTCATTTTTGCACATTTCTGTTCTCTTGAAAACATTTTTATATTGCAGCAATTACAATAAGTTATTTAGAAATATATTTTCATTTAACATCTCCTACATTTTTAGATTACCTTAAAAATCATCAAATTAGTGTATGAATCTTCTGTTTCATGGATACCTCTTTATTTAAATTTGTTGATTATTAAATATTTTCTATTATACATTACTATTGAACATCTTTATTTATTTATCTTTTTGCATTTGGATGAATTATTTTACTTTAGATTCCTTGAAGGAAAATGTTTGAGTCCAGAGATGTGAATATCTGTATAGCTTTTTCAAAATTGCTTTGCGAAAGGATGATACCAATTGATAATAGCAAAATATTCTACTTTCACCACAGTTTTACATGTAGTGGTGATGATATTGAAATAAAACTTTGCTACCATCATGAATATGAAACTGTATTTCACGATTGCATTGAATTTTCATTTCTTTGATTCCTAGAAATGTTTTCTTACAATTTATGTTTATTCTTAGGTAAGTTGTTTCCTGTACCTTGACTATGACATCCTTAATATCACAAAAGAAGACATTGGTTTGTACATTAGAAGGGGACAGTGTTTCTTGCCACTGGCTCTCCACTTTAAGTGATGAAGTTTACACATATTGACATATAATTACTGTGTCATCTGGAAAGTAGTTTTCTTTTAAAGATTTTGTTTTCTTTCTCAAAAATTTATATGAGTAAGAGTTATGACTTAAGTCTTCTTTTGGCCAGTTTTTACATCAGTTCTGCATATTGTATCCTCGATCCTCTCTACCTTTCTAGAAACTTGGGTTTCTATCACAAGGGCTTCCAGCGACGAGTTTGGGAGTCTCAGTCCCAGCATGACTATGTAATTGGCAAAGTAACACTGAGCACATTTCTTTTAGGATAGTGGATCCACACTATGATCCCCTCATATGAATGATGACACAGTATTACTAGTGTGCAAAAAGAAAGTTAGTCACAGATATACTGACAGTGTCTGGGTTCTGATGAATAGTCTGCATTCTTTCAAGTTTTTATTATTGAAATTTCTGGAGTTATGTAAAAGTAGAGAGCATGGTATCATGAATCCCTATGTATCCATCACTCAGCTTCAATAATTATCAACTTATAGTGACATGTTATTATTACCAATAGCAATAGTAATTAATACTTAGTGTCTAGTATGATAGAGGCTGTGAATAGATGTTTCTGTGGCAGAACTGAAAATGTGACTTACTGCCTTTATATTCTCCATGTCACTTAGCATAGCTGGTGGCAAATAGTAGTTGTTCATTAAGCATTGAAAGAATTCATTTGCTTGTTTAATCATCCATTCAGCAAACATGGAGTACCTCTTATGTACACAATGCTGATTCTGGAATATAAAGTTGAATAAGGAATGTATCATCCATATTTTCAAGATGCTAGTGGTCTATTAAAAGTATTTACTCTTGACCGGGTACAGTGGCTCACAACTGTAATCCCAGCACTTGGAGAGGCCAAGGTGGGCAGATCATGAGGTTAGGAGTTTGAGACTAGCCTGACCAACATAGTGAAACCCTGTCTCTACTAAAAAAATACAAAAATTAGCTGGCCATGGTGGTGTGTGCCTGTAATCCCAGCTACTCAGGAGGCTGAGGCAGGAGAATCACTTGAACCCGGGAGGTGGAGGTTGCAGTGAGCCGAGATCGCGGCACTATACTCCAGCCTGGGTGACAGAGTGAGACTCCATCTCAAAAAAAAAGTATTTATGGTCTGTTGAGAAACATTAAGTTTACCCTGCCCCCATGGCTCCTTTGTGGAGGATACCTTTTAGTTTGTAATTGGTGGTAGGCTAATATACTTGGTATATTCTTGGCACCTACTTGGTATATTCTTGAGTTACATGTATATGTAGAACACCTGTGTATTAATAAGAATTACCTGTCAAAGAGCAAATAAATATGTGGATAAGAATCTGCTTGGAGCCTTCAGCTTGGAAATACTGTCAGCCTCTCAGCTCTCAGGCTCTTGGTTCCCCAATAGATCCACTCTGTTGTTCTATCTGGATATCTGCCTCTCAATACCTTCAGCCCACCTGGGTGGGGGTCTCCTGACCGAGCTGGTTGTCGGTAACTGTTCTGTATTCTTTCTTTTATTTAGTAGAGAAGAATTTCTGCAGTGTGATATAAGTACAGTAAATTCTGATGAAAGGGCTATCTTTATTATACTTATAGCTCTGTATCTATTTACAGTAAGCTATTCATGTGTTAAAGGTGATATATCCTGATAATCTTTAACATTTGTCTAAATACTTGCACTATTTAAAACTTGTGAGCAGTTCAGTTTCGACATTTTACTGCTTCCAAAAGAGAGTGGACTGGCAGAGTCTATGTATGTGACTGGTTATGCATGGTCTCATGATGAGATTTTTTTTTTTTTTTTTTTTGGTGATGCTGGTAGGACTTGAAAATGACAGGTTAGATTAGGGTGGAGACATGCATGAAGTGATGGGATTTACCTTTAGAGATTTTAGCCCTTGTTGCCAAAAGCAACGGAAAAACAGCATGTGTGATTTTGCTGAACTACTGCAATCTTAGCTTAAATATATTTCACAAAGTAACACAAAATACTTCACAGCTGATTTTTATAGCTCTGGCTAACTTGAGCCTAAACCACCAGGAAGCGTTTTTTTTTTTTTAAATGAAGCCTTCTAAAACTAGCTTGTAAAGTCCCCAAATAGCCTCCATCTAATAATTGGAAAGTATGTCAGCTGAAATTTAGAATTTTTTAACATTGCGCTGAAGAATAATCCATTGAAGAAGATAACAGATTCCTTAAGTGCCATTAAATCAGTTAAGATTTCTATACTGTATTGCTTGTCCAGGTCAATCAGAACTTCACATATTCCAAGTTTGAGGAGATTCAAATACTTGGAGAGTTTCTTAGGTACTTTCCTACAATGAGTATAGAATTTAGTAAGTTTATGTAACTTGGGCATGTGCAGCCATGTTTGAGGATCTGCTTTATTCTTCTATGTCAGTTCTCAGATTTCTTGGTCTTAGGGCACCTTTATGTTCTTAAAATAATTGAAGACCCCGGCCAGGCATGGTGGCTCGCGCCTGTAATCCAAGCACTTTGGAGGCCAAGACGGGCGGATCACCTGAGGTCGGGAGTTCAAGACCAGCCTGACCAATGTGGTGAAACCCCGTCTTAAAAAAAAAATAATAATAATAATCGAAGACCCCAAGAGCTCTTGTTGATGTAGCTTATCCTGATATTTAGTATGTTTGAAATTTAAAAGCATTTGTTAATTTATTTAAAAATAGCATTAAGCTCTTTATAGAATTATAAAAAAATAGCATTTCTTTCTATGAAAAATAACTATATATTTTAAAACAAAGAAAAATTTAGCATGAGGAGTGGTATCATTTTACAGTTTTGCACATCTCTTTAATGTCTAGCTCAGTAGAAGACATCTGGGTTTTCATTTCTGCTTCTGCATACTTATTGTGATAAGTGGTTTTGGATGAAGTATAGGAAGAAATTCAGTTTAACCCAAACATGTAGTTAGAAAAAGGAGAAGTAGTTTAGTAATTTTTTTCTCATAGTTGTAAGTATTCTTCTTTGATCCTACACCAGAACTCTGTAGATGATATTTTCTTAAAGTTTGTTTGTAATGTGGAATCTGAAACTGTATCAATGAACTTTTTGTGCTTATATTAAAATCTATTGATCTATGTTGTACTTTGAAAGAATATTTAACCCATTTGTGGCATGAATTGACCATTTGTTAAATGTTGCTTCCCTGAATAATACAGATCCTCCAAAATAGACACATTTGATGTACACTATCAAAAATTATATTTAAAAATATTCCTACTAATATTGGAAAAATCTTTAAGCATTGGGAAGCTGTCAGGCTCACAGAAGTAGAAACAAGTTTCCTAAAATTCTAATTTGCACTTGAAAGCTTGAATTTTATCTTTGACAGGTTTTTTTGCCTTGAAGTGGCAGGCTCACTTCTTTTTTGAGAAATTTTCTGCCAGATACCCAAGTAAGAATAACAGTAGTTTGCCCATAATTCTTCCAAGTAAAAATTATATTCTGTGAAAAAGACAGCTAGTTTAGCTTGCAACTCAAACAGTTGCACAAATGCTTTTCCTTAAGCAATCTTTGTTTTTCAGATATGCCTCATGTGTACTTTCTGTTTTATCACACAAAATAGTAGACTTTTCTTTTTTATTTTACTTTAAGTTCTGGGATACATGCGTTGAATGTGCAGGTTAGTTACATAGGTAAACATGTGCTGTGGTGGTTTGCTGCACCTATCAATCCATATCTAGGTTTTAAGCCCAGTATACATTAGGTGTTTGTCCTAATGCTCTTCCTCGCCTTTCCTTCCACCCCCCAGCAGGCCCCAGTGTGTGATATTTTCCTCCCTGTGTCCATGTATTCTCATTGTCAACTCCCACTTATGAGTGGAACATGTGGTGTTTGGTTTTCTGTTCCTGTGTTAGTTTGCTGAGGATGTCCAGCTTCATCCATGTCCCTTCAAAAGACATGAACTCACTCCTTTTTATGGCTGCTTAGTATTCCATGGTGTATATGTGCTACATTTTCTTTATCCAATCTGTTATTGATGGGCATTTGGTTTGGTTCCGAGTCTTTGCTATTGAGAGCTTTAAAAATTATTCTTACTACTTTGTCAAGGACATTCTTAAGTGAAAGTATGTTTTTAACTATGCATGGTGTTGAAGAATACAGTGACTCTTAGTACTGTTTGGTGTTACCGTCCTGATTCATGTTTAGAAGGCACCAGCAATTTTGCCCACCATTGCTCCTGTGTCATCAGTACAGATAGTATCGTTATGAAAATAGTTTTGATTTTAGGACTCCATGGAAGGATATCAGGAACCCCAGGCCTCTGTAGTCCACACTTTGAGAACAGGTGAGCTCATCAAGCAGTACCTTGATCCCCTTTCTTTCTCTGTCTTTTGAAACCCACCCCTTCCAGGGTTAGGTATCCCCCTCCTTTTCTTTATGCATATTGAGTTCCATTCTAATAGAATGCATTTTTTTCTCACCCTTTGCCTTTTTGTTTGTTTCTCTGCCTAGAATATTCTTGTCCCTGTTACCTTTTCTTAAAATCTTATTTTTCCTTCTAGTGCCAGCTTAAGATTTTTTTCTTCCATGATTTCTGCTCTCAGGTGGAAATCATTCTACCTTTCTAAGTTCTCTTCACACTTCATTCACATCTCCTTTATGGCACATATAGCTTATTTTAGAGGGTTTTTTTTTTTTTGGAGGGGAGGTGGAGGGTAGAGTCTTCCACTAAAAGCAGATGACTGTGTCTTGTTCATCCTGTGGTACTTTATAAGACTTGAACAGATTATTCTGTGAATTATTACAGATGGAGTGAAATAATTTATTCAGCAAATATTTGGCTGCTACTGTACATCAAGCATCATTAGAAACACTGTGCATATAGTTGTGAGCAAGGCTGACATTGTTCCTGTTCTCGTGGTAGTTACTTTCTGTTACAAACGCATTCTACCTTTGTAGATGTTAATTGACAGCATGAGTAAGTTCAGTGATTTCTAGTGCCTTTGGGATTTATTTAGAGGAGCCTTTGAGAAACAATCATTAAGTCAGAGTAGCCATTATTCATCAGTCCCAACTAATCAGTTAACTCAGTGAGAGAATTGCAAACATTAAGGCTGCATATAACAGTGAATTTATAGTTTTAACTTTCTATATCCAAGTATCATGTGACATGGCCCATTAACTTACATTTCTTTTTTATTGGGGTTACATCTGGTTATGTTAGTTTTTGAACAAAGGAGAGAGGAGCCTTGAAGATGGGATGTTTAAAGATTCTGTAGCAGTATTTTCTACATACAGCTCTGTCATTTTTTGTATTTATGTGACTAATATGATTCTAGCAAAGATGTTTTTAGTGTATATCTGTGTGAGAAGGGTTTTATTTTAAGGCTTTGGACATTTTTGTTCCCTCTTTTAGGCATTGACAAAGGATCCCCAGGATTACCCTGATAAAAAAAGCCTACCTCATGTACATGTTGCCCTCTGGATAAATTCTCAAGGAGGCAGAAAGGTGAAAGCTGGAGATACTGTGTCATATGTCATCTGTCAGGTAAACTATTGACATTCATAAGACTCTGATGCCTCTTAAGAACTGGAAGTAAAATCCAGATTGCCAATGTCTTATTTAGAATTCTTCCCAATAATTAACTGTGAAGTCTGGTTAGTTTTATAGCATTTAAAAAACATTAGTTAGAGGTGTAGCATATATCATTAGGACTTTCATAAAACATTTATGACACGTTTATAACAGTAGCTACTCTTTTAACCCTAAATTAACTTTAATGCAAATGTAAGTTTCATCACATGTTCAGCAGTAGTCCTCCTTTATCATTCCTTTTGCAGCAGTTCCCATTATAAATATCAGTGGAGTAATAAAAGAATAAATATCATTTTCCTAGCAAATGTTCAAATAATTATGTTAAAAAATTTGGAGTACATGATTATATGGAGAAGTTGAGAGATTCTATAAACATACCCTATGAGGAAAATACACAGTTCAACAAGTTTTGGTGTATTTTTTTTCCCTTCCTTCGAGTGCAGAGGGCCCACCTCCTTACCCTTCTCCCTGTTTCACAAGGCACCTCTAGGCCTTCTGGAATACAGTTTTAAACCACTACCGGTTCTTTTGATAATAGCATGCCTACAATGGGTGAGGAGAGAGAGTAAGAGAGAAGAGCAGTTTTTTGACTTTCGAAGCCCTTAACTCCAATTTTAGCAAAGGAGAGGTCTCATCCCTTCTCTCTGTAAAAATAACTCAGGTTCATAGCATTTATCCAAATTATTTCAAATTACTGTGGTATAGGCTACTTAACACAAGGTATAATTTATCAGAATAAGACTGTTTTTTAAAAAAATTAAGAATTTTATCCTAATTGTTATTGCATTATGTTGTTAGAGCAAAAAATTTTTTTACATAAATCTAAAAATTAGTTGCAATATGATTGATATTTGTCAAACCACAATCAGTATGTTTTTAAATCAGAGTCTTTTGAAAATTTGAAAGTAGTCTGCTGATATCTGCTATATGCTTCGGATGATGTACATAACAAATGATTTGAGTACATGGACAGGAATCAGCACTTGACTCTGTCTCCCCCCTAGGGTTACCCTTGATTAAGAACTGTTACAGAAAGCCAATTCCTGCAGGAAAATATTTCCATAAATGTCTGACTTGCTCAAGCCCTTAATGTGCTTTGCATATTGCCTCTGACAAGTCTTATCTCAAAAAAACAATTTTCATATTATGCAAATAGAGATTTTGGTAAATAGGCTAGGTTTTTTTTTTTTACTTAACGTCTTCACATACATGGAAAAGCTCTTAGATTGGTAATGACAAGAACAGATGGCAGCATACAAGTTTGAAAAATTATATAGGTTCAGTGAAATAGCATCTAATAATGAAATCAAGCCACAATTATGTTTTGGCTAAACCTGCAATGAAGATTTACGGTAATTTATAAAATAGGATGATCATTGTATTGAAAAGTCAGTTTTGTGTTCCTTGATATCTGAATGTTAGGTCTTATGGTTTCTTTTTCTCAGGTCTTACTAATATACACAGGCTCAAAATGCGATTGCTAATGTATCACAGTACATCCAATTTTATGCTTTTAGCATTTTTCATCCATTGGTTTGGGTCTTATTTGCTTTTTAAAAGTATGATTCATTCTTGTTTTTATTAACTTATTCTTCTTAACATATCCCAAGAAAACCTATAGGACTTTATTTGCCTCTGTACCCTACCCATGGGACATGCCCCCTTTCAACCTGTTTGCCTCTGTACCTTTATTTGCCTCTGTACCCTACCCATGGGACATGCCTTCTTTCAACCTGTTTGCTAGCCAAATCTGCCTACCTTTTTTGCTTTTAAGCACTCAGATTATTCTGTGTTTCATAACACAACCATAGTTTTAGAATATGCTTTTGAAAATGAATCATGACACTTTTTTTTTTTTTTTGAGATGGAGTCTCGCTCTGTTGCCCAGGTTGGAGTGCAGTGGTGCCATCTCAGCTCACTTCAACCTCCACTTCCTGGGTTCAAGTGATTCTCCTGCCTCAGCCTCCCAAGTAGCTGGGATTACAAGCACGCGCCACCATACCTGGCTAATATTTTTGTATTTTTAGTAGAAATGGGGTTTCACCATGTTGACCAGTCTGGTCTCAAACTCCTGACCTCAGGTGATCCTCCTGCCTCGGTCTCCCAAAGTGCTGGGGCTGGGATTACAGGCGTGAGCCACTGTACCCGGCCCATTATGACACAGTTTTAAGAGGACTGTTTGCTGCTTTAAGCAAGGGTGTCCTCCAAGAATAGCCTATATCCTAAATAGGTTTTGTTTTGTTTAAAATTTACATTTAGGAAATAGTACCCTATTCAGATTACAAATTCAGATGAGTTCAGAGAGTCATGTTTTTGGTATCTAATTTATATTGTAGGTTGTTATTGTGTTAAACCTATGTGAATTATTTGCTCAGATCTTAAATCAACTTCCATTTGTTGGCTAAGTTTTAAATCCTTAACTCTTTAACTTTCATTAGACTTAATTTTCATAAGACAAGACTTTAACATAATTGTTTTAAGGGGCCCACTTGTCTCTAGTTTAAAATATTTTCCCATTAGTTTCTTACTAATGATGACTACCTAGTTTTGTATGAATCGACTGCACCTGGTTTTCTCTCTGACTTATGCACTTTGTAAAGTTCACAAATTACTACATGGGCACTTGAAGAAGACCAGCATTGTTTCTTAATCTGTTCTTAAAAGTGTATGCCAAGTATTCTTGTATATACCATGGGGCCTGCTCAGGTTTTAGAATGAAGTCTTTGAAGGTTATTATTTTTTAATTTTGAGACAGGGTCTTGCTCTGTCACTCAGGCCAGAGTGCGGTGGTATGACCACAGGTCAATGCAGCTTCTATATTCTGGGCTTAAGCAATTCTCCCGCCCTAGCCTCCTGAGTAGCTAGGACCACAGATGCACACCTCCATTCCCAGCTAACTTATTTTTTTTTTTTAAGAGATGGGGCAGGGGGGTCTCAGTATGTTGCCCAAGCTAGTCTTGAACTCCTGGGTTCAAGTGATCCTTCTTCCTCAGCCTCTCCAAGTACTGGGATTACAGATATGAGCCACAGTGTCCAGCGGAAGGCTGTATCTTAGATCATAGTCTGATTGTTTTTCCAATATACAATAGCAAAACCTGTCATCTAACCAAGTCTTTTGAATTTAGCCATGTTCAAGCTTAAATTTTTAAAATACTGTTAAGAAATATGTTTGTGCCACTTTTTCTTAAAACTTGTCTTTTGTGTGAATATTTAAAATAAAAACATTTTAAACTGAAAGTATGCTCAGAAATTTTCAGCTGATTTTTTGAAAACCATGTCCTACTATGAGAACTTCTAATTGTATATTCGAAAGTAACTCAAGTGCCTTTAAAAAAATATTTTACATCTACAAATTCAATTTTAATTCACCATTAAAAGTTATTAAACTCAACATTGCGGTAATCTTAAGGGTAGATCAATTTTTTTATAATTCTGTAAATTGGTCAGATTTTATTAAGGCAGTCTAAATACAATTGAGTTGTGTGAAAAGACACTGCCCAAGGATTTTTTTCTCATGGTTTTTATCAGTTGTCACCTTATTATCATTGTAACAATTCAGGCTTCCAAAAGAGCAACAATTAAACTTGATTAATTATGCCTTATTCCTTTTACTATGTTGTAAATTCCTGACAAATAATAAGAAGCAAGTCTTTTAATCTGAGTTTGTTGCTTTCTTAGGTATTTCATTTTGTCTTAGAACAGATAGAATCTAGTTGTTAAACAGGCACAGGTTGTTTCCATTAGGAGACAAGCCAGAAAAAGAGCCCCTGGCACTGGACTCTGGTAAAGACAGTGGTGTGTGGAAGGTTGCCTCTGCCTTAGGCTGGGTGCTGAGATGGAAAGGGACTGATTATAGCAGGAATGAAAGAATGGGATTCACATTATAATCAGTTCTGCTGAGCAGCTGAGCACTGTGAATAGTTATAATTTACTAGTTTGAATATTAAATTCTGTTTCAGATGAGCGGAAGAGTGAGTGAGTTGTTGGATGTTGATCCAGTAGAGATAACTTTTTGGTTCACAGATGATAGTGACATCATTCACAAGGCTGGATATGGGCCAATTATATATAATTTCACAGCTTTTATTTTTATAGCATAAAAGAGAGAACCCTTGAAAAGAGGCTTTCTGACCCTCCTTTTCTTTAGGAGGAATCGGGTAAATGGTACAAAATGACATGCCCTTCATTCCAGTGGCCAGATATTTGGCTTTTAGAGCCCAACCACTCTACCAGGACACTACATTATTTTTACTTCTTTTTATTATATCTTGCATATAAATTACTACTCTATAGATTTCATTTCCCCACATTTTTCCCCTCTTTTCTTTGCTTCTCAGTGATACATGGCTCTCATAGAACACATTACTCCCAGATCTTTGAGATACTTTGACTAGAATTCTTGCCTGAAGGGATCACATTAAATTAACCACCTCCTGGGTTCAAGCGATTCTCCTGCCTCAGCCTCCTGAGTAGCTGGGACTACAGGTGCCCGCCACCATGCCTGGCTAATTTTTGTATTTTTAATAGAGACAGTGTTTCACCATGTTGGCCAGGCTGGTCTTGAACTCCTGATCTCAGGTGATCCACCTGCCTCAGCCTCCCAAAGTGCTGAGATTACAGGCGTGAGCCACCATGCCCGGCCCACATATTTTTAAATGATCACTCCTTAAAAAGCCTTTCTGACTACACTAATTGTTACCAAGTTTTCTCAGTGTGTGGTGATACGGCAGGTGAAATTTTTTAATGTAGTAATCACTATCTTGTTGGTTTCAAATTTTGGCAAAAAATAGAACACAACATATGCTGGATATATATTCTTGGACACTGGATGAGATCTCAAGATTGAGATGTTGTTCTTGATTTTCCTACTCAAAATATTCAGTAATAGGTCAAAAAGACATCTTTATGTTTAGAAGTAAATACATAAAATTTAAATTGTTGCCTCTCTGTTTGACCAAGCAAGTGTCTGTGATTAAGTTGCTTACAACTTTACCTGAGTCTTCTTTTTACCTGTGTCTTTTTATCGTATCTTCTTTTAGGATGGATCAAACCTCACTGCAAGTCAGAGGGCCTATGCGCCTGAGCAGCTGCAGAAACAGGATAATCTAACTATTGACACCCAGTACTACCTGGCCCAGCAGATCCACCCAGTTGTGGCTCGGATCTGTGAACCAATAGATGGAATTGATGCTGTCCTCATTGCAGCGTGGTTAGGTAAGTGTTCCAAGCTCACATAGAGCCTCACGTGGTAACAGTGGCACATACAGTCTTCCTTTTCTCTTGGGATCTCCGTTGATGGGCATGGTATTGTGTCTGACAATTCTTTGTTTCTAGTTTGGGACATATTTTCGTGGTTGTTTGGTACTGACTCCACTCATAGACTATGAGCTCCACATACTTGGGACTGTAAACACATGCCTGCTCCATAGTTGGCACTTACTGAATACTGAGGGAAGAGAGGGAAGGCAAGAGAATGGGTGAAGTGAAGATTTCAGGTGCCTTTACAGTCATTGAGTTTATGTTGTTATAGGTTTAATTAGTATATCTCCATTAATAAGGAGATTGATGGTATCTTGTTTATTGATTCATCTCATCTCTGTTGCTGAAGGTATTTTTATGTCAAGTGAGAAAACATGGCTTTTTAACAAAAAATTTTAATAATTTTTCATGTTCAATTCATTGTGAGTATCCTACTCTCAAAGTTCTTCTAAAACTGGACCCACTATTATCCTCTAGGAATTGGCTAATTTCTAAGTTCTCATCATCACAGGAGGTGCCAGACAACCCTGAGACCTCAGTATTTCTTTGACTTTTTGCTGTGTCACCAGACTGTCTCCATTGCTATGACATCATTACTATTGTCATCTTTTGTTTAGAAATATATGTCATAAGCAGCCCTGATTTCATTTTTAGATAACCAATACATAAAAGTTACATTGCTTTTAAGGTCTTTCCTGGCTGGGTACGGTGGCTCACGCCTATAATCCCAGTGCTTTGGGAGGCCAAGGCAGGTAGATCACGAGGTCAAGAGATCAAGACCAAACTGGTCAACATGGTGAAACCCCATCTCTACTAAAAATATAAAAATTAGCTGGGCATGGTGGTGCATACCTGTAGTCCCAGCTACTCGGGAGGCTGAGGCAGGAGAATTGCTTGAATCTGGGAAGCAGAGGTTGCGGTGAGCTGAGATCGTGCCATTGCATTCCAGCCTGGGTAACGAGCGAAACTGTGTCTCCAAAAAAAAAAAAAAAGGGTCTTTCCTCTCTCTCCTGTGGTAAGCAAAGATGAGTGTTTTCAGAGTACTGCCTAATGTCCTGAGATGGCTCTTCACTGTTGGTAAGTCAAGCTTAGGAGCCACTGGCATCTCACAGACTCTAATTTTGGCAATTACAGACTAACTTTCCAGCTCCCACCTACGTATCCAGTCTTATTCAGTCCATGTATGCAGTGTTTTCCAAATATGGCACTGCCCATTCTGTTCCCACTTTATGGAAAATTCTCCCCTTCTTTTTACTAAAACACCTGGCTTTAGCCATGGGCTTTTGCAGCATAGTGACCTGGGTTTCAATGCTGGTTCTGCTATTGACAAGCTGCTGAACCTTGGTCTACACCTTAGCTCCTTGAGTCATAGAGTTACCTTGAGGGAGAAATAAGATGATGTGTGTGAGATGTTACACTCAAGGCCTGGGGCAAAAGCAATGCTCTGTGAGTGGTAGACACCTCCCACCTTTCTTTTGGGCTTCAGTGGAAATATGTTCCTACTCCTTCAGTCTGTAGGATTTGCTATACTTAGTGCTCAACTGCGTTTGTAGAACGAGATTGGGTTTTCCATGGATGAATTATCAAGTCACGTATTTTCCGTCCTGCCAGTGTTGAGTATGTTTCAGAGTTCCTCGCTGCTACACCCATCGTCACTACCCGATCAGTGTTTACTCTGGAAGTGGAAGCTCATTTTTAACATTTGCCTAAGCAAATATTATTAGGAAGATAAAATTCTACCACCAAAATAATCATATAATGTATTCTGCAGATGAGTTGTATTTAATGATGTTTATAAATCCTCAGCTGGGAAGAGAGGACTGTAAAAGCAAGGTATTTTTTAGCTTCATTTTTTTCTCTACTATACATTGAGTGTTTACTCTTTTGGATACAGTGATAAGTACTTTGCATTTGTTATCTCGTTCAGTCCTTGTGACAACCTCGCAAAGGTATGTTGTATTAGTTCCATTTTACAGAGGAAGAAGCTAGGTTTAGAGAGGTAATGATCTTGGTCTTGGCACATAGGTAGTAGTAGATAGCAGGCTGTGATTTCAAAGGTTGTGATCCTAACCACTGTGCTAACCTTGATTGCCTGTTCTTAGCTCTGAAAGGCTATGAAAGATGTTTTCAACCAGGAGTAGGGTAGCATGGATGTACAAACATGGGGAGCTTCATGTTTTTCTTGCTCCCTCCATTTCCCACTGTGCACCCCATGCTCTCCACTGAAAACCTCTGAGTTTAGAAAAAAAAAAAAAAACCTAGTGTAGGTTGGGTGTGGTGGCTCACGCCTGTAACCCCAGCACTTTGGGAGGCCCAAGCGGGTGGATCACGAGGTCAGGAGTTCAAGACCAGCCTGACCAACATGTTGAAACTCTGGCTCTACTAAAAAAAAAAAAAAATACAAAAATTAGCCAGGCATAGTGGCGTGCACCTGTAATCCCAGCTACTCAGGAGTCTGAGGCAGGAGAATCACTTCAATCTGGGAGGCGGAGGTTGCAGTGAGCTGAGATTGCACCTCTGCACTCCAGTCTGGGGGACAGAGTGAAACTCTGTCTCAAAAACAAAACAAAAAAACAACCTGGTGTAAAACTGTTGCCCTTTTCTTCTTTGGTTTTGAATTTTTCGTTGACCCAGGACTGAGAGGAGATAGATGGAACAAGCCTTGTCTCATGAATGACATTTAAGAGAAGGATGTGCGGAGCCTTGTATGTCAGCAAAAGAGCTGAGCGGTGAAGGGTGATGGAGCATGCTACATGGGTGGATTGACAGGTTGCCTGCCTAGATGTGTAAAGGCCAGTCATACTGAGAGGAGACCAGACTGATTTTATTAGTTCCAGAAGTCATAGTTAAGATAATTTTTTAAAATAAATTGAACAGTGGCAGATTTTGACTTGAAAGATACTTACTGCAGCTGCTATATGGTCATAGGCCGCCTTATGAATTCAGTTTTCACAAATTATTTTCAAAGCCAGTAGTAGATGAGTGGGTCCCATATTCAGAAGTTTCATCTTATATCTCATTGACCAATCTCAGTCTACACAGAGAAACGTCCAGACTTGCACATGGTCCCACCATGTACCCATCACTCCTGCCCCATAACTTGAAAATTCTCTATGTGCAGCCGTGGCTGTGTGGACACTCTTCCCGGCAGTCCCTTCTTGGTGTCTTGTAGCCAAGTCAAGCTGATGGGAGGTGGCAACATGTCCTCAGCCTTGGGGGATCTGCCACTGCTCCTCACTTTTGGCTGCTTTTTCTCATTTTTTTTTCTTCTGCCACTTGATAGTGGTTTTTATATTGAGGATGTGTGAAGTTGTCATCATTGTGTAGTCCTCCTCCTCTCCTGCTCATCCTCTTTCATCCCATGCTGTGCCCATACCAGCAGTATATACGTAGCCATCTATATTAGTAACAAACCTTGTAGTTCTTTCCTTCTGCCCCTTTCCACATAGGAGTTTCAGCATTCATGAAGTATAGGCCCAGAAGTCCCCATCATCATGAAGATCTGTAGAAAACATTGAAGCTCACTAGGCAGATCTCTGTAGGTATTTGCCTCCCACTCTATTCAGGAGCTGAATTTCTTATCTGCACCCTTTATTCCTCCTCCCCAAGTAAAAAATTGGAGTGGCTATTCACGAGGGGCTTCCAGGCCCTGTTATTGATTCTACTGTAGCCTGTGGTTTTAGGAGGAGGGAGAGAGATGGGGAAGTGGTGGCAAAGTAAGAGAAGTGTTAGGGGGTACATGGTTTCTAAGAGGTGCAAGCTGTAGGCATAAAATTACTGTAATTTGTTTTTAAAATTCTAAATCTGTTTTCTTTATATAAAAAAACTGCAGCTAGTGAACTGACACTGTTAAATAAGTTGAAGTGTACAAATGTATATATAAAATATAAGCCCGCCAACTGCCTAATCACAGACATAAAATAATTCTCTTGCTTTTAATGTAGTTTTTATCTTTGATTAATGAACTGCATTACAGTATTGAAACTTTAGTGAAGTTTGATACTTTGTCCTTTTAGTTAGTACAAAGAAATCAGGAATAATGGCATAATTTCATTTAGGAAAATTATTAAGTTCATGGTTTTTTATTTTTAAGACTCTTGTGGAGAGCAACTATATTTTTCAACTACTTTTTTCTTTCTCTATTGCTTTTATACTACTTTACTTGAAAGGCAAGCATCAAGTGTTGGTTTATCCTTTGGCTTCACTTTGGAAATTTGCTCTTTTTCCCCATCAAGATACCTCCTAAAGTCTGTCTGGTGGCATGTTGCATGGCCAGGTGTTTCATATGGAAAGACCATTTTAGTGAAAAGGAGAGAGGATAGTCTATTAAATGAGTGAATGAATAAGACTGTTGAATTGAAAGAGAATAATTTGTTCTAATAACTAATGGTCCTCAGTATCCCACAGTAAAATATGTATCATTTTTCTGAAACCCTTGCAAGATTATTGCTACTGGGGCTTAAATAGAGCAAAATTTTACTCTTTTCTATCTGTGAATAGGAAAAAATACAGTATTACTCTTTTTATACAATAGCCCTATGGGAAACATGGCCACTAAAACTTGAAACTCTTAGCTTTTGTTCTCTATAGATTTTTCTCTCATTCTAATGAAAGCTCTTCCGTATTCTGTAAATGAAATATTCATAATATGCTTAAACATCCAAATAGTCTTCTATACCTAGCAGACTAGGCCAGTGACGAGAATAGTCTAAAGTTCATTCTTGAATTTCACCTGTTAATAAATTTATGTTTTATGTATAATGGTACTTAGAATTATATGTAACATCTTTCCTCCAGTGAGCAGTGATTTGAACAGTAGTTCAAAAGAACCTGTCTTCATGGTCGGTGATAACATTTCAGGCATTTGGCTATCTGGGCAGTTTTCTCATTGGTCCTGAGAAATTATTGATGCTTGAAGAACATGAGAATTTAGAATTTAATCTCTGAAAATACTA